ATATATAATATATTTAGTTATAAATATTATCCCTTTACGTTTCTTGTTGGAGTATATTAAGTATGTATGTATGAATATATATGTATATTTTGTATATATACATACACGTGTATATATATAATTATATATATAAATTATATTATTTATATTGTGTGTGTATAATGACTATAGGAGGAAGAAGATGATGATGAGGAGAGCGAAGATGGAGAAGAAGAAGAGTCAGGAGAAGAAGGAGAAGATGATGAGGACGAAGAAGAAGATGATGATGAGGAAGAAGAAGATGATGATGAGGAAGAAGAAGAGGAAGAAGAAGAAGAAACAACACCTCCTCCTCAAGATAAGAAACGCAAAGGACAGCAGCAGCAGCAGCAGCAGAAACAACAGCAACAACAAGGAAACAAGAAGGGTAAATATAGATCTATAAATAAATAAATAAATAGATATACATAATCAATATTATTGTTAGAGTTAGTTATGCATGCATTAAATAAATTACTTCTTTTTTTCCCCTGTATTTATGGGGCTTTTTTTCTTTTTCCTGTATATCTGTATTATGCATGCAGCAAAGACACAAGATGGGTCTGCAGCAAGCAGCAGCGGAGGTAGCGGAGATGAATCTTCTTATAGAAATGCATTAATAGACTATTTAAAGAAAAATGGACCTACGCCTCTCTCCTCATTAGGACAAAAGGTTAAAAAACCCGCCAGTCTACCTAAGATGGCTGTATTCCTTAAGGCTAATAGTAATTTATTCAATATAGAAGGAGGTAAATGTTCTCTTAAATAAATCTATTTTATTTTATTTATTTATTTATTTATTTTATTTTATTCTATTTTATTTTATTTTATTTAGTTAGCAAGGAAGAGGAAGGGGGGAAAAAGACGAAGAATACATGTTGGTGGGTTCTGTTGCTGCTGCTTATGCAGCAGCAGCAGCAGCAGCAACAGGAAATGCAGCATTAATTTATTTTCTTTATCCAATTATTAACATCAATAACAATATTAGCTATATTATATTAGGAAAAATATATAAATATAAATATAAATATAAATAAAAGAAAGAAGAAAGAGGAAATAAATATATTATATATAATAAAAGAAAAGGGAGAAATAATAGTAATATTATTCTCTCCTTTTCTTTTTTTTCCTTCTTTTCTTTTTATAATATTAAATGATTAATTATATTTCCTTACCGAGCTATTGTTCTCTTTTCTTTCTTTCCTTATACTTAATGTATTTATATTTATAATAGCATTTATATAATATATATAATGTATATTATATAAATATATAGTATACAATATGTATTATATATTTTGTATAAGAATATATATAATACAACATTAGATATAACATATATATATATATATATATATATATATATTTGTGTGTGTATGAAGAATGTCCCGCTGGTTTTTATATGATTGCGATTAATTCGTTTATTATTCGCCGCCTTTTATGCCTTTTATTCTCTATTTGTCTTCTCTAATATTTTAAACCCTAATTTAGGGTTTTATAATTCTATTATAAACCCTAAAACGTATAACCTCAATAATTATTTATACAAATGCTCAATTTGTATACATACGTATATAT